TGATGTGCTTATGTTGATTCTCTATATTTAGCTGTTTTGTAGGTGGATTTACGACGATACAGGACTTTAAACACACTAAAAATCGCGAAGTTCAGGCGGATACTTTTATCTGTAATGCCTGTTTAGCTGCTCTAAAAACGTCGTTTTCCTTTCAGCTATTATCTGTCAATCATTCGGAAAAACTAAATTGGAGTTCTAAAAGTGATAAGTTTAGTCTGCATTGCCCTCTTCCTCAGCATGCTGCTTTCTTTTCTATTTGAAAACCGCCCTTTCCGCATTTGACTTGAACTCAATTCGTTGATGGATAGAAACACTTTCGTTATCAGTGAGGCAAGTTCAAAATATTCTTAAGATTAGTTCGCAAATTCTGCCTTCGATGTGATGAGGAAAACTGAATCAATATGGACGGAAATATGTCATTGATAATCTTAATAATCGTAACGCGACGAAAATGATCTCTTTCTCTAGTTTGTTGCCTATGATATTGACAAAGGAAGAAATTTATCGGAAGCGAGAATAGACAATAATTAAACTTTCTGGGTGTAGAAAATAAAATATAAGAGATGTTTTTCCTTTTAAAAATGTTATTAATATTTCAACCCATCTAAAGTTAATTGGTCTAAAGTTAAAGTTAAAGCGGCACCGAGAAGAGGAGCAGGTCTTTCTACTTAGTCTTTCTACTCTATTTCCGGAAGATCTCTAAATTTTTTGTCGCCGTCTGTTTTTGGAGGCTTAAATTTCGTTCAAGCAATGGAGATCACTTGTGGCAAAGCTTTCCGCTTATTCAGTGAATATCGAAAAAGTTTTATATCATATTTATCGAAATTAAAAAAAACTGAACAGGCTGAATGATTAAAAAATTCCGGATAGGAATCTCGCATAAAGAAACATGAGGATCAGTTTAAGTCAATGGACGAAACTTAGTTCTTGAAAACACGTTAAAGATGCGTAAAAAGCAATATTTGACATATTTCTTTATTGATAATATTGAAGTCATATTTCATTTTATCTCAAATTGAACTGTTTTCTGTTATTTTTATGGCAGCTAACAGAGCTCGGAGAAAATGCAGCCTTTCTCCTCAGCTTCTCAGTGTATCCCATGGCTTGTGGTCCTCATCATCGAATGTCTAGCCATTCTCATCCTTAATATCATCACCATTGCTGTTTTTGTGAAGAAGAAGCGGCAGCTACAGCGGCGGAGTACACATTTGATCATCCATCTGGCGATAGTCGATCTCTTAGTGGGCGCAGTCTCTGGGCCGCTACAGATTGAAATCAGAGTAGTGAGGTTCTGTCCTCAATGGAATTACAGACGAGAGACTACTTGGTCTCGTCATATATCTTTTGCATTTGTACATTTATTCTCGTTCACTTCCCTTACAAATCTTATTGCTATTTCTTTAGAACGGCTACACGCAACATTTTGTCCATTCAGGCATCGCTTTGTGAGGAAATGGGTTCATAGAGCTATAATTATTGTCATTTGGTTAATACCTATAGTTAGAGAAGCTGCTCAAATTTTTTTATGGGAAATTGTTGATGTAGTGGTAATTGCTACTTACTTGTATATCTTATTTTATGCAGTTTCCTTATTTTCTATCTGTGTATCTTACATCCTCATTATTATCAAAGTACGATGTAGTCGTCATCCTCAATTCCATTCTAGGACCAAAAGAGAAAGAAAACTGACGGGTACTGCGCTCATCGTCTCACTTGTATCTTTACTTTGTTTTCTACCAGGGATGATATATGCAGCGTGTCTTCACCTTTCCTTCACTTGTTTTATGAATTTTCATATTTATATGGCTGTGTTAGTTTTATTTTTAGGCAATTCACTTGTAAATCCTATAATTTACTCTCTTCGGATGCCAGGATTCAGAGAAGGTTTATTACAACTAGTGTACAGGGTCCCAGACCTTTCTGGTATCGCCCCGGCAAACCTGCCACTTCGAAACCTTAGTAGAGCGTAGATTGATGGTAGGAAAACTATATATAAAAGTTTTCTTTTAAATAACTTAAACTTCTTAGCCGAGTAACATGCATTTCCATTTCATTTTTTGGTGATATGAGAGTAGACTCGAAGGATAGAAACGGTACAAACATCTAAATGATTAAAATGAAGAGCGATGCATCTTGTCGCTTCTAGAAAACTACACAACGATATAAGTGGAACGATTAGTGAGCTTCCGGTGAGTTGGGTTTTTCTTTGTGTGGAACGAAAAAATCATCGAGGAATCTTGAAATAGCCAGTATAAAAAAATCGGAATTATTATGAGGAGAGAATACTTTCTTTTCCCATTGGAGTTACTCTTAAATTAAGTAAAAATTCACCGATAGATCTAAAGAAATAAATGTCACCGTGTTATTCTATTTTCAAAAGTTTTGTTGGCTGGGTCACTTTTCCTCTTTAATATTATATACTCTCAGGTACTAACTGACAGCTTTTAAAGATTCAACTTTAGGATCTAGGAAATAGCTCATTTCCGATAGT